TCCAATTTGCACCTTTAAAATTTGAGAAAAATTGAATAGACAACTTGCTAAAATGCTGATGTTGCATTTTGCAAATTTCCAATTTGCTCCTTTAAAATTAAAAAAAGGCTACATGTTTTAAAAAGGTAATTGGAATATACTATGGGCTTCGTATACAGCTTATTATATGGTGAACAAAATAAGATGGATCGCTGCCTTTACTGTATAGTGTATCGAGACAGACTAACTTTCCTACAGACGGCGCGGATACGGCCAAAGGAAACAAAAGAAAAACGCAACGCATGTATCGCACGGCGAACCAAAAACTCCGCGAAAATTCAAACTCTTATCAATATCACATATACTCAAATTTAAATTGGGACTTTGTTTCAATTGGGACAATGTTTCAGTTCTGGACAGAGAACCAAATCGGTGTAAGAAAATCATAAGTTAGATGATCCATATTAAAAATTAGACCAATGGAATTAACTCTCACAATGAAAATCTTATTGCCTGACACACTGAAACTCTTAATGCATCTTACACTGAATTTTTACAGTCTAAAATTATTTAAAAGTAAATAGTTTAACCTATAAACAATACCAATATCAAATGACCATGCCTCAACTTTCGACTGCCTTCTAATATGATTCACTTCTTTTTGAGACGCGAAAGAGTCAAAAGCGATTTATAATATCATCTGACGAATCATCATAGCAGAAATGGTCAACAGATATACGAGGGCGGTTCAAATATGATCGAGACAAACGCTGTAGATGGCGCGCCTGTATGTTTTGAAGGTCGCGGCTTGAGTATCACGCGCGTGAAACGTGCGTTCGCGACGAAAACTATGCCACACTGTTCGTAAGGGACCCAGCTATCACATACTCAAGCCGCGACCTTCAAAACATACAGGCGCGCCATCTACAGCGTTTGTCTCGATCATATTTGAACCGCCCTCGTATAATTAAGGTACCACACATTACATATCATACAAAAAATTTCGGTACCATAACTGTTCGTTTGTTCTATTGATTATGGAGATAATTTGAACAATTTTCTAAAACAACCTAACACAATTCTATATAGGCCCATTAACCTGATATAGACCGTTGTCATCATAGTTCTATATCTTTAGATATAATTATAACCGTATTCATTAGAAAAAATATATCTATCAATACTGTCAACCGAATAGTTCGTTAAACTTGGCCTCCTTATTTACATTATTGTTATTGTCAAACAGAATACGAGCGTTATCTTTTATATTATATAAATCATGATTAAATGGCGCTTATACTTGGCATATTTTTTTACCTTTCTTAAAATCAACGCTAAGAAAAACCACAAGACCAATTATCGAAATCAAACTCAAATAGAAGAAAGTTCTGTATTATGAAATAGAATTTTAATATGAAAGAGCAGATTTTCAACGTTTCCAACTCAATCACAATTTTTCTTTCACAACGATTACACGATCTAACAATCAATTTGTCATTAAACAGATATCACTCCAAGGGCAATAAATTCATGGAATACACAGATGATCCGTATTAGGGATGTTCGATTCCGATTCGATTCTTTTAAAAATCGATTATTTTGGTGGAAAAATCGATTTTTTGAATCGATTCTTCACTGGTCGATTTTTGGGTGAATCGGTTCTTTACCACTAGAATTGAATCGAAAAATAACTTAAGCCAACGGCACAATACTAGTTTTCCTACTGGATTGCTTACGAGAACCAATAAGGATGCAGAATTTTAGATCCGGTGACCTAAAGCTGCATCCTGATTGGTTTTACTGATTTGTGGAAATCCTAAAGTCACTAGATATTAATTAATTTCATTTAAGCCTATCACACATTGCCAGACAACAGGCAATAGGAATAGGGAATAGAATTTCTGACGCGTTGGATTGGTTGGAAGAAAATTTCCGACGAATCCAACGCGTCGAAAATTCTATTCCCTATTCCTATTGCCTGTTGCCTGGCATTGTGTAATAGGCATGGCTTCAGCAGACCAGCGCGACAACGCGATGCGCGCCGCGCGATTATCCAATAAGTGTACAGTTTTTCTATAAAGACTCCACGCCTATTGGATATCGCGCGTCGCGCGTCGTTCTTCGCGTCCAGTATGAATGAGCCATCATTGCATCATTCTGTGCTCGTCTTTTGTTCAAGTGGCGTTATGTTGTGCAAACGGTCGTAGTAATATAATCCTCGCTGATTACGAAGTTCAAAGTAATTTTGTACGTGCTGAAGCCTCATCCGGAGGGAAGGAGATAAGATTAGGTAAGCAAAATTTATCTGCAACGTGCAACACATATGACGTCTATAACGTGCTAATAAAATTCTATGATATTTACATTCGCAGAGAAGGAGAAATTCAACACACAGGGAATTTGCCTGTTCGACTCATTCACCCACCTAAAGAAAATTGGTTTCTCGTGGCTGTATAAAGCTCACTAACCGACATTCGTGAGTGGACAGTAAACTCGCGTGCTAGTGCGAGTGAGTGAGTGT